TATAGGCATGTAGCTGGGGATATACTTCAGTGCAAAGGCCTTTGGGTCTATCTGTAGTACCACAAAAAAAAATCCAAATTCTCACTTAAGAGTAGATGCCAACCTGACATTTCTCATTTGAAGGTGTTAATTCTCTCTATATCTCCTTTACAGTAAATTCTGCCAAACTTCAACACGGTCACCTATATGTCTTATGTGAATTCTTTCATCCAAGACACAAAGAACACAGAACTGAGAAGCTGTGTTAGTACCCGGCTTCCCAGTGACATGATGAGCTTGGAAGTTTAAAAACAATTCAAAACAACACAAAAACACAAACCTGGAGAGCAAAGATATGGAGTACTGCATAGATATGTATAACTTTGGGTTACTTTGTGTCCAGAATTGTATTTTTCCTAAAAGTACAACTTTAAAATTATGATTTTTCTTGTCTCCTAACTATGTTTCTGCTATCCTACCTCAAGAAGAGCATGCAGATCCACAGCTATTAAATACACTCACAAGATTGCTCTTAACTGTGGCATTTACTCTATTTACATGTAATGTTTAGAGAACAGGGAAAGGGGATGTTACTAGTAATATAACTACTGATAAATTTAAATGTGCCATTTCATTTTGGGGGGGGGGGTTACTGGGGATTGAACAGGGACCTTATATTTGCAAGGCAGGCGGTGGCACCACTGAGCTAAATCCCCAGCCCTGCCATTTCATTTTTCACTTTGTGTTGTATGTTTCCTTTTTCTGTCCTGACTTTGTGTTGGATTGGTTTTTATTACTTCAATTTTTTTTCCTGTACTAGTTTTGTAAATATTTTTAGCCACTACTCCAGTAAGCCCACATTTATCGAGCCCACATTTATCAATACTCTCACTCTCCACTCAGTGTTTTCAATTCTATTCACTCCCTTAACATAGATTTATAAAGTATCAATTACAAAGAAGTTTTATTAGCCGGGCATGGTGGTGCATGCCTGTAATCCAGTACTCGGGAGGTTGGGGCAGGAGGATCGCCACAAATTTGAGGCCAGTTGGACTACATGGTGAATTCAAGGCAAGCCTGAACTACATAGTGAAACTCTGTTTTGCTTTGTTTTTCTAAACCTCCATGAAATTATATTATTGTCAGTTTACATTTAATCAGAGCATTGTCTGACATAATTGGTGTTCAAAAACATAAAATGGTTAAATCCTATTAGAGTGAAACAAAGCAGAACACCATTTTAAGGCAATAAAGACAGATTTTATTCAGCAGTAATTACTGCAGCAGGGAAGTGAAGCCACTGTAAATGGAGCTCAACTTTGGGAAACAAAATGCAGGAAACCTGAAATGCTGAGGAGTGCTAAAGAAAAGACCCTAGAGGGTACGAAGGAGGAGTTGGTTCCATGTGATTATGCCATCTGGATTTTTACTAACTGGCACTTATCCGGAAGAGAAGTAAAGTTTTCTCTTTAGACTGAAGCAGTTATGCAAGTTGGAGCAAGACACCCCTCAAAGTTAGGCTATGATCTCACAGGGACTGGGAGGTTAGAACAAGAGTTATCTCCTTGAATGCCTTCATTTCTGGGTCTTGGAAGAAACAATTCAAGGTAGTATATTTATATCTCAAAAGGGCAGAGAAATGATTTATAATTACAAACTTTCTAAATATAAGAGGGGGCTCAAGGGCCAATAAGCTGATCTTCAAGTGTGGCTGGAGCAAACAGTAAACTGTAAACAATTTTAACCTTCCTCAGGAAAGCATTTTAAGGGGAGCTGTGAACATTCAACAGACACAGACTTAAGCTATTAGAAGCTGTACCAGAGTTTGGTCAATTCTCTCAGTGCAGGCTTTTGGGCAGTCTTTTGTGCCCAGAGTTTCTACAGTTGACTTTCCGTCAAAATATGAACTAATTAGCAAATGAATTTATCTTGATAAATAAAAATGTATTAAATCAGCTAATACAATGTTTCATAGTAGGAACCATTTTTAGTGAGTCAATTTACAACAGGCTCTTAGAGGCTGGGTCTACAGGTGCCCAATAGGTAACTAACTAATGCAGGATAGAACAGTATTTCTGCCTTCATTTTTGTATTTGTCTCTTTCATTACCTTAAAACTTTGGGTAAGATCTGTGCTCAGCTCAGCACCTAGGCATATTAATCACTTACGGAGTGTCTGTACGAATACTGGTAATACAAGATTTATGAGCTCTAAGTTTACCTAACCTATATGCCTAAACTATCTGTTTTCCCCTTCAAGACTGAAAAAGACTCACAAGCATAGTCAAATCCTAGTTTATACAATGTCTTGTTCCAGACCCATGGAACAGTGCCCAAAAGTCTCCAGTCATTGTTCTAAACCTACAATCACCTACCATTCTAGGAAAAGCAGAACCTTGCAGGTCACCCCATGAAGAGGTCACTCGTACTCCACTCTCAGGCAGGAACAATTACTTCAGGGGAACTAGATTGTCCCCTAAGACCTTAGGACTTCTCCAGAATCAGTCCTGAAATAAAAATCAACTAAAATGCTGCTTGACCAAGAGTACCTACCCTGTCAGCTCTGCAAACCACCCCCAACTCTGCAAACCCACAACCCTTGCCTTTCTATAAAGCCCTAAAGTTCCTGTGAGGCTCTGGAAGACAGACCTTGAATTTTTTTATCTGTTCTTCCCACCATGGCCAGGCTGCTTAAGTTTCTTTCCTGTACTTTACAGTAGCTCATCACTGTGACTGGCATTTTAGTTTGATGGGGTCTCCAGAACCAGGGCTTTCAGCCCCAAACTCTGATAAACATTTTTGCATGCGTTTATCAGTGAGAGTGACCTAAATATTTCTTTCTTCTGAATGTCCTTGCAAAGTTCATTATCCATATTTGTTTCACCTCATAAAATAGAGTATGTTCTGACTTTAGTTTTTGACAGATTTTTAGTTTCTTAACAAGGAAGCCATTTTAGCTTCAACTGTCTTACTGGAAATGTTTGTATAATGGATTAAACTTCTTTAGTGGAAACAGGACTCTTCAAATGGTCTATTATACCATACAGCAGATCTACTTCCTTCTATGTTGCTAGAAAGTTATCTGCTTCATGTAAATTTTCAAGTTTGGTGGTATATATTACATAGGAAATCTGTTTATCTTTTTTAACATAAAGGAACTATTTTTATTTATTGATATGTTGTTTAATACTTACCTTATTCTCCAGAGAGCTTGAGGCAATCATTCCCACAACTGATGGATGAACACAGACACACAAAATAAACAACTCATACACCAGGATAACTTCTTTCATATACATGTGTATACAGGGCTGGGGGTGTAGCTCAATGGTAGAGTGTTTCTCTAGCATGAAAGAGGTCCTGGGTTTGATCTCCAGCACCACAGAAAATAAAAAAAATATATACACACAGGCTCAATATTACAACAAATACACAAAATATGCAAACAATCTGGCAACATTAGAGGAAACAAACATTTCAGTGCTTACTTTGGCTCCAGATGTGGATATCCTCATGGATATAAAATGGCATTTTATATTGGAGTATATCTTTTTTCTCAATGAAAAGATTTTTTTTTTCTTTCTATGTTGTGTTAAGGATCTAATTCAGGGCCTTGCACATGATACACAAGTGCTTAACCACTGAGCTACATCCCCAGGTCCTCAACTGAAAAACAATTAATTGTGGGGCTGGGGATTTGGCTCAGTGGTTCCACTGCTGCCTTGCAAGAGCAAGGGCCCAAGTTCAATCCCCAGTACCAAAAAAAAAAAGAAAAGAAAACCAACAACAAAATAATAATTATGTACAACAAAACAAAACAAAAAAAAGCCGGGCATGGTGATGCATGTCTGTAATCCCAGCACTCAGGAGGCTGAGGCAGGAGGATCACTGTGAGTTCGAGACCAGCCTGGGCTACATAGTGAGTTCCAGGTCAGTCTCAACTACATAGTGAGACCCTGTCTCAACAAAATAAAACGAAACAACAACCACAACAAATAATCGTGTACAATATGACTTTTTTTTTTCCCCAGTACTAGCAATTTAAACCAGGGCCTCCTCACTGAGCTACATCTCCAGACCTTTTTTTTTTTTTTGAGACACTAAGTTAGTAAACTGCTCAGGGAAGACTCAAAGTCCTAATCATCCTGCTCTTCAGACTCCCAAGTGCTAGGGTTACAGGCATGCATCACCACTGCCAGTTTAGATTTCTTTAGTTTTAACCTAATATCCCTTTTCTGTTCAGAATATCGCCCAGAATAACCAGCCAACTCTCGCCTTAGGTTCCCCGGTATTTTTACAGATTCTCAGATTGCCCTTTTTATGACATGCACAGTTTTGTTTGTTTTTTGAGACAAGGTCTCGCTGTGTAGTTTAGGTTGAAGTTGGACTTACTATGTAT